CCCCAAAACCCCAAAACCCCAAAACCCCATTGATCAAAATAATAAAAATAGTGTCTAATTAAATTATCTAAATTTATTTTAAGTATAATTTCTGGCTATCTTAGAATACTAGCCTCATTCGAATAACTTTTCAATCATTAATTTGAATTCGTGGAATTTAAGACTTGTTCTGTTTCTCCTGTCGACTTCATTCATTGCTCTAAGGATCATCTTCTCGTCAACTGATTTAACATTCTAGAACATTTCTTTGATCTCCTCAACTGAAACTTCATTGTCTCCATTCTTATCAAACATCTTGAAGGCTGCTTCAAGTCTATCAGATGTCAGTAACTGCTCCTTGTTCATAGCAACCATTAAAAATTCAGCATAATTGATCTTTCCATTTTCATCAGCATCAATTTTCTTGATAATCTCTTTAAGTTCTTTTTCATTGAGATCAACACCTTTTACAGCAAACAAGGCCTCTCTTAAGTCTTCATAAGACAAGTATCCCTCGCCTTGTGAGTCAAATAGCTAAAATTCTTAAGCCAACTTATTGATTTCTGCTTGAGACATCAGTTTGGTGGTGAAGAAGCCAAGTAATGCTTGTTTGAGTTTACCTCCAGCTGTAAATTATCTGATGTTATCAAGAGTGTTTCCAAGATCCTTACCTTTGAGTTCTCCTTTTTAAGCCTTGCTGAACCAATTATGATGAAGTGCCTCTTCAGCTGAAAATCTAGTATGATGATCAGTGTGTAATAGTTTTCTCAAAAGATCTCTGACCTCTATCGAAAGTTTCTGGCCGATTATATTCTTGGGTCCATCAATATCTAAGAGGCCTCTTTGAATGTTTCTGATAGCATCCTCAAAAGTAGCTCCTTGAAATGGGAGATCACCGAATAATAGGAAATATAGCACAATTCCTACACTCCATACATCGCTCTTGTCCAGATACTCATTCTTAAAGATCTCTGGAGCACAGTAATAAGGTCCATGAATACCTCCTTTGCCTCCATAGACATTAGATGCCTCTAGAGTCTTAGTACCAGCAACATCAAAATCAATTACTTTTAAGTGAAGTTTGCCTGTCTCTGTGAAAAGGATATTTCCAGTTCTGATATTTCTATGAACGATGCCTCTTTTATGAAGATAAACTAATGATTATAGAATTTGCTTGATAACGGTTGCAGCAACTTCTTCAGTATAATGACCACCGAAGTTCATGACAGCATCCCAAAGATCTCCACCTTATAAGTACTCAGAAACAAAATAAAAGCTAGTGTCATCCTCGAAGTACTCGAGATACTTAGCAATATTTGGGTGATCTAAGTTCTTGACTAGCTCAATCTTTCTCTTGTATTCATCTAGGTTATCGATGTTTGATTTATCCACAACTTTGATAGCCCTTTCTATTCCAGATTTCTAATGAACACCAAGTCTGGCCTTGCTATCATATGGATTGCCTATCATTCCTGTTATATAATAGTGATCATGCACTTTTTCATTGACTCTGAAAATGAATTCCTTGGCATCAACTTGTAGCTTTTCAAGATGATCATCAAAGTATCCTCGTTCCTTAAGAACCTACTCGAAGTACTCTCTACCGAACTTGGTTATATCATCTGGGTTTTTCCTGATTATCTCCTTAGTGAAATCCTTTAAAATCTTAGGGAAATCATCCTGGACAATAATCTACTCAGCTGAGAAGATGCGCATTTCCTTAACGTTCGACATTTTATATGCTTTCTTTTCAAATTATTATTTTATTTATTTTAAATTTCCAATCAATAAATTCTTATTTCAAACTCATTTCATTTCTTCAGAATATAAAGATCCAACAGCCTAGTGGGGTTTTGGGGTTTTGGGG